TTGAGATTAGGATCTTCAATGCCTATTTTCTTTTGAATTTGTTTTTTTTTAAGGAAAAAATGTTTAAATTTATCAAATATTTTATTCACATATTCATGCACTTTTTTCCTTAATTATGTTTATGCAATAATTGCATTTTTTATTCGAACATGTTGAACTGTCACTGCATTCATGGAATGAATCCTACTTCATTTTGATGATTTGGTGCATTCGATTTGCTAATATCTTATTGAGAATTTTTGCAACTGTGTTCATTAAACATTGCCCTGTTGTTTTCTTTTTTAAAATCAATCTTTTAGGATCAGGGTAATGCCTACATGAAGAAATGATCTTGGGAATATTGTTTTTCTTTCTATTTTGTTGACAATTCTGAGACATATTGTTACTAGATCATCTCTGAATTTCTTGCAGAATTCAAGTAAACCCTTTAGTTCCTGGGCTTTTCTTAGTTGATATTCTTCAATTTCATTGGCCAGTGTTGGATTATTAGGAATTTTTATTTATTGGTGGTCACCTATGCTGTCCACACTTTCAGTACAACATTTGGTCCCTAAAATTTCTGACTGAAATTTTTCAGGACTGTAATTCTTTGAGAAACTGCTCTTTCATATTTTGTACCATTTGATTTAGCTCAGCTAGATTTTTATTAATGTCTTCCTAAATGTACCACATCATTTTGGGGAATTACCTATATTATCTCTTTAGTTATAACTTCTATGATTCCCCTGAGATAATTTTTGTTATTTTTTCTGGACTTCTGTGTTATCATTTCAAGTAATTCAAGCATGTGGCTCAAGTTACTCTCCTATTTTTACCTCCTTGGATTGCATTTGGAGGAATTTGAAACTTTGGAAGATATTTTATGGCCTTGTCTTCTCAGGTTTCTAGAGTGTGTTGGGTGGGGGGAGGTTTGTGTATGCGTTTCTAGAGTGTGTCGGGGCGGGGGAGGTTTGTGTGTGCACTGATAGTGGAAAGTCTCTGTTGCTAGTAGAGACCTGGTTAACTAGTTTGCTTTTCAGCGATATAGTTCAGGCATACCTAACAATGGTCCTTTTCTTTTGGCCTAAGATTTGACCACCTCTAGTAATATGGGAGGAGGGCATGCAGTGTAATCGGCTCAACACCATATTCCTGGTATTTTTAATGTTACAAAGGAAATTTGGGATTTGTCATTCAGAGAAAACACATTGATGGTAACAATTATGTGACCCAGCTAATGTCAAGTAAATCAGCTATAGCAGTACCATGAAAAACAATTTGGATATTAATGTATAAATGAAAGCAATACTATACTGAGATTAAACATGCAGAGTAGAAATCCACAGTAATAGTTTAAACATAAAGAATCCACATATTGACATACAGCTAATATGTATTAAATATTACAGCCATAGGTCCTCTAATTGTGGAAAAATTCAACTGTGATTTTTTAGTGTTAACTAATCATAAATTTTAATAAAGCTTAATGTTTATGCTATTAAAGATACAGGAATCTGGGGAAGGGAGAACACAGGACGAAAAATATGGAAGCTCAAATATATTACATGAGGAGTACAGAGAACTAGGACGCAGGGTCCTATTAGGAACTAGAAGAATGTTTCTAGAATTAAGTTGACAGAAAGTACTGATGGTAAATTCAAGATAACAGAAAAAAGGAGAAAATAAATTATATGGAGACTAAAAATTCAGATAAGTTAACAGGAAAGAGAGGGGGGTAAAAGATGTGAGAAAAAGAGAAGAAAAAATTCTTTCTGATTTTAAATGAGCATTTCAGAATCTGGATTTTGAAGTATAGCAAATCTCCATTTACCCAGATGCTCCTCTGGTTTCCCAGAGGTGTAGGTGTGTCCAAACCAAGAGGTGTTCCAAAGCAACTCATTCTGCGCCTGGCTTCTGACCAAAGAGGGCAGGCCTCGTGCACGTCCCACCTGAGCTCAGACCCCTCATAGTGTCTCTTTCCAGCTCATCCTATGTCCAGGAGTGTCCTGAAACTGTCTCTCACTCAGTTTCTGTGGTAGGGTAGTGCTGGGAACTGTGAAGTAAAGTTGTCCCGTAGCTGTTCTGACACCCCATTTGAAACACTCCACCATTTCTCAGAATGTAACTCTCCAAGGATCTGGCTGGCACCCACAACATGGTCACTCACCCACTGCTTCCTGTGCAAGAACTCTGTGCAAGCCTAACTCCACACTATCCTGTAGATCACACAACCTGCTACTTCATGAACCGTCTTTCCACCCTGGGACTTTCTGGAGTCCCTAGGCTTTACTTTGGTTATGAAGATTTCATCCCTTTCCCATGAGACAAGAGCCACACAGAACGGATTTGTTTTCTTTTCTGAAATGCAGTGTGTCTTTTTACCTCTCGGGTATTTTTACTTTTACTATCATTTCTGTCAGGACTCCTGGGAATCTACTTGTCTTTTTGTTTCTTTGTTTTCCTTTTTCTTTCTCCTAAATTAAGATTTTCCATACTTTGAATTCTTAATCTTGAGCAGGCTGCATTACTATTAACACTCTACTCTTTTGCAACACTAAATCTTCATGAAGTAATCTACAAACATAAACAAAGTGACTCCCAGGAGCCTGGCTTCCCTGTTATCAGACTGGAGTTCCTGCTGAGGGGGCTTCACGGGGATTCCTTTCAATTCTGCGAATTCTGTGGATGCAAATGGCAGGACTGAGAGAAGTGAGGACCTTGGATCAAGGAGGAATTGCAAGTCAGTAAAGGGGACAAAGTATGGTGAGTAGACAGAGGACTCCAGAACTTGACAGAACCAAGCTATGGCATTTTTCATAAGGGAAAAGGGACATGCTTTCAAGAAATACCACATTCAAAGAGGCTGCCTACTTCCTAGGTGAGCTTTCATAGTGCCTAACTGGCGTGCTTACATCTAACTCAGGCGGGAAAGTGTGGAGTCATAACAGAGATACAAGCAGGTATGATCACAAGGAAGATGGAGGAACTACAAGAACACATAGAGGTTACTTTACTTGTGACCTCGTTGTTGAGACATAATTCCTCAAATCTGCAGTTCAGTGGAGGAAATGTTGATGGGAGCTCATAATTGATAGAGGTTTCAGTCCACAGTCAGCCAGCTCTAAGGCAGAACCACAGAGTGTAAGGGCCCAGTGGGAGCAAAGCCATGTATCTTAAGACCTACAGGAAGCAGAGTGTGAAGGGCAGAGCCAGGAAGGAAGATAGAATCTGCCCTGTCACACACGGTGACCCTCTTCTTCCTAAAGGGCCCACCACCTAAGACCAGGTTGGCTGTTAACCCCCATAATGCATGTATGTATCTTCTGAAGCTTCTGCCTATCATACCATGGGTCTTTAGGGTAAACTATAAAAGGAATCTGGAATCACAGGACAGGTGGGCACAGGTCCTGCTGTGGGCACTGAAGTCCTCAGAAGGGGTGACATAATGGGTGCCTGCTTGCATCATGTAAGAGTGATAGAGATTTATGTGAGGCAAAGGACATGTTCTGAGATGGCGTCTGCAGGATGGCACAGGGAACTTCTAGTCAGGATACCCACAGGTCCCAGAGATGCAGCATCACAGTCAAGAGTTAGATGTAGACCCTAAGAGAGGACTGAGCTCACCATGCCCAGAATAAAGATGGCGAATGCTCTGCAGACATCTCCCTGAGTCCTCGATCATCCTGGGAAGCCTGAGAAGAGATTTTAGTGTGAGGCTACTCTCTTACTTATGAATTATTGGTCTCAGAAATGAAGGTCATGTAACAAGGGGGCTTAAATCCAGTCCGCAGAAGTAGGATCCCCAGGCTTGTCAAGGTGCTGAGCGAAGCAGAAGGAACCCACTGACCTGAACACACCGAACTCTACCTTCAGCCTGTTCCTTTTATCACCGATATTAACAGCCTGGAAACACACATATACTGGCTTCCACTGACTTCAATTTCAAGAGTCCCATACATATAAAGGAAATTGAATGAAGGTAGGCCCAGGTCATCCCAGGGACAATACCAGACAACCATTTATTCAGGATGGAGTAGGTTCTATTTCCTAGGCCACACGAACCCAAAATTAGTATTTCTGACTACTCCTGTTGTTCCAGGCAGCATATGCCCTTCTTCTTTACTGACGTTAATGCCCTGTGAGACACAAAGACACTTTTCTGTAGGAGCCTGTGTCATGCCAGTAAAGGCTGGGGTCTAGGTTCTGCTCAAGAGGGTTGAGGGCCTTGAGTGAGCAGAGAGGGGACCTTTCACCTGAAGAGCAGAGACCTCACAGACTCTATCCACCTCCACCCTGAGAGAGCTGGAACACAAGGACTCTGCTTGAGGACTCTAGCCTGAGCTGTGCCCCATGTCCCTTACAGGAGCTCTAAGAATCAGGAGCAGAAGGTCTTGGTCTGAGGTGGTGTCTGCAAATCACACAGCAGAGAAGACCCGGGAGTCAAGGTAAGGGGCATGCACTGAGGTGTGCCTTCGGCTCCACCTGCCCAACGACAGAGGGGAATCCTTTCGTCCAGGGTGCACAATCCCTGCTGTCTTCCCTAGAGCCTACTCTGAGAGTAAGCTGCAGCCGAGGTGGAGTCTCATCTCCTGCCTGGGTTCTTGGGGACAGTGCCTCTAGGACAGGACTCTGAACACCACCTAAAGAGAAGACCAACTATGGGCCTTCTGGGAGTTGACAGGAGTACTCTCCCCAGGTGAGAACACTCACACTATCCCTCTCTGTTCCAGGCATCTGAGTCCTCATCACCAAGCACTCACTGCCCCAAGGATCCTCAAGACATCTGCACTGTCATTGGACACAGCTCAGCAAGCTAGGGGGTGGTCACCTTGTCCAAAGAGGGGCACGGGGCCTGGCAGGTGTGTGAGTGTTGAAGCGTGTCAGAGAGGAAGAAGTGCCCACTGCTTCCTCTGGCTGCTCACCCTTTAGTGTCAGATCCCTGCTACCTCAAGTGAAGTGTGTGGTACTGAGACACCAGACTGTCCCCAGGATCCTCAGGGTGCATCCTGTCCACCACTGCCATGGCCTCTGCTAAGGAAAACCGATCCTGTGAGGGCAGCAGCAGGCAAGAAGAGGATCTATGCACCTCCCCGGATGTGCTTGTCCTTCAGTTGCTGTGTCCCCTGTACCAAGACAAGAAGTTAACTGACCTGTTGCCTTTCCTGCTTTACAAGTACCAAATTAAAGAACCTATCACCAAAGGAGAAATGGTGCACTATGCAGACCTACGCTACTTCAGGCACTTCTCTCAATTATTCAAGGTGGTCAATGAGTGCATGTGTCTGGCCTTTGGCATTGAAGTGAAAGAAGTAGATCCCCCCAGCAGAATATATGTCCTTAAGCCTGTCTTGGGCCTCACTTATAATGGGATGCTGGGTGACAATTACCAGAGCATTTCCAAAATGAACCTCCTGGTAGTCATCCTCATTGTCATCTTCTTGAAGGGTAACTATATCAATCAGATAGATTTAAGGGAATTCCTGTTAACAAGGGAAATGCTACCTCAAAGGAAGCGCTTTGCTATTAGTAAACCCTGGGAATTCATCACCAAGGAACTGGTAGAGTTCCAATACCTTGCATGTCGGCAGGTGCCCAATAGTGATCCTGCTCAGTACGAGTTCCTGTGGGGTCCAAGGGCCCGTGCTGAAACCAGCAAGATGAAAGTCCTAGAGCATTTGGCGAAGGTTAATAGGAGAGATCCCAAGTCCTACACGAATCTATATGAAGAGGCTTTGAGAGAGGAGCAAGAGGCCACCCGTTCAAGGGATAGGAGCCAATGAAGGGGCAAAGTGTATGCCAGTGACAGGGAGGGATCCTCACCTCATCACTGTGTTAGTTCCCACCCCATGAGAGTCTTCTTCAATCTGTGTTTCTGATTTTCTTCTAAGTACTCAAGAGCCAGGGAAGGGGTAAAATCCTGTGCATATAATCTCTATGTCTGTATTATTTAGACTACTTGGAAATGCATTTGTGTGTTCTTCATTAGTTTTTGAGATCTTGCTCCTAAAGTTTGGCATAGCTTGCCCAGGTTATTTGTATAACAATACTGATCACATGTGTATTTCTAGTGTTGTGATATTGAAGATTTTTTATGGTTTCTGATGTGAATGTGATATTGTTTGATATTGATCACACAGGAATTTTATTCTTCCTTTCCAAATGTAAGAGTCTTTGCTATTTTGTCAACTCAACTTGGAAAGCTTTCATTTTATTTTGAAGAATGAACCATAGAATTAAACTAAGTATTTCCTTGGAAATGTTTATAAGTTTACATCAAGTTACAATGGAGTTCAACAATCAGCATCAGGATAAACATCTTTGGTCTCTTGTTTCTTTTTAACTGTTGTCCTGTACTAGTAAAATACATGTATACCTGAATATTCTTGGTTTCTTCAATGGTGGGGGAGAAATTTACTCTCAATAAAGAAGCCCTTCTTCTCATGGGCACATTGACCCTAAAGCCTCATTGCACGTGTGCCCTTTGGAAGGCCGCTGTCTGTGTTGGAGACATGAGCACACTGCACTGTGTAAGATCAAACCTACCCGATGGAATGGTGGAGTCCAGCAGTACCACCATTTCTGGGAGATACAGAGATACCCTCAAGGACCTATGCTTAATGAAAATTGCAGTGGAGTCTAGCTGAGAGAGGCCCTTGGTGAATGCTCAGCCATGGCAGTTTGTGGCTTGGCGTAACCCCATTTCTTTCTGCAAGGATTGACTTTAATGCAACTGCAAATTGACCAGAGACACATGCTGAGATGAAGTGTCACAAGCCTGAGGTAAAAAAAAAAAAAAACTTAGACAGCTGAAGACTGCTTCTTAGTAACACTTTTGGATGATGGGTGAAATTGAGAGGAATCTTCACCTGGGACAGCTATAAGGCGATTGGTCCTGTGCAGGGCACAAACCAGAGGGCTATCCCTGTTCTCTGCAAGGATTTCCTGAGAAATGAGGGTGACTCACAGGTGAAACAGGGCCCTAAAGTCCCTTGCAGCAGGTGTTCTCCCCTCTGCTGGGAGTGGGCAGCAGAGGGCCAGATCATTCAGTGCCCACTTGACTGCTTTCAAAGGATCAACTTCTCCATGTGAGTCCACTTTGCATGAACAGTCTTGTAAGGTGGCTCTTTTAATCTGGTCAGTGATGTGGGCCTCTTCTATCAGTGAACCCATCGCTGCCTGACCAAGAGGTTCTCCATCCAGAGAGCTCTGAGTTTACGAGTTTGCTTATGGTAGGACTTAATCTAGATCAGTTTGACAGTTTTGCTGGTGAATGAAGTTAATGCTAATGTTGTTACAGTATGTTATTTGCCTTGTAGATCCACAGACTTGCATCCGTGCTGATCTGGCCTGCTACAACCTATGTAGTCAGTGGGGTGCTGAGAAGGGACAATGGGAGATTACAAAAACAACTAGTCACATACTAAAAGGAAAGCTGGGATCAAGTGGGACCTGACCTCTGTGATGGAGAGACAGTGACAATCCAGCATTGTCTGCCTCTATTAATACACAATAAAAACAGAGAAGCACAGAATGAGGCCAAAAGTATGAGGTCTTAGTTTTTTTGCTTATAACACTGAAAATGAAGCATTTTTAAAGACATCTATGCTGTAGTTAACAGGGAAGAACACCAAAGCTGACGCCCACTGGACTGGCCTCGCTCTAGTCCCAACAACTTGTTTATGTTTACATGGCTCACCTCTGGAGCTCTGTGTTCTCAGGTCTGGCTTTGCTCTAGCCTCAGATGTGTGGTCGAGCTCGCACTCAGCTGCTCCCCCCAATGGCCTTGTCATTATAATGGCCAAGATTTTATGCCTGTTTGTCAGAGATCCCTTGTGAGCACCAAGGCTAGAGTTTTGGTTAAGGTGAATGGATTGAAAATACTTTTGCCCGTGGAAGAAATGTTGACAAGGAATAAATATGGTTCTTCCCCCAAGTTCTAAAACTGTGAATTAGTTGTTCCCAGCAAGGAATTTCTCGCCAACATCAAATCAAGTGACACATTCTATTGTAGAGAATCCATTAGAGAGAATTTTACAGAGTATCATCTTATTGTTTTCATCTTCCTCACAGCCTGTAGCTTAGCTGGTGTAAACTTACACATATTTTATAATAAAAGCTTGATAGTGTCCATGGTTAGCAATAGTAGAACTAACTTACCAACAAGTATTCAACATACAGCATGTCAGAAATTCTGCTAAGTGTTTTGCATTTACTTCTTACATTCCACTGGTCCTACAAACACAAATGTGTGTCAATCCCATTTTATAATATGAAAAACATGAGGCCTACTGGGCTCTGAATCTTCTCGGGGTACTAGTCTGGTAAATAGCAAGACCGGCACTAGACTCCCAGGGTGAAGTCATCTACTGTCCACACTGTTCTCCTTCCTCCCAAGGTGAACTCTGCTCTGATTCTGAATTTTATTTCTATTCTGAGAGTACTTAAGTGTACCTTGTAGGATATATGAGTCCAAGGCACTGAAATCTGGCCTGAATTAAGACTCAAAATGAGCAGGGGCAACGTACTCCCACAGGAATTACCCAGAATCACCTGCCCTGACAACATCACATACAAAGTCCTGCCTGTCACTTTGCTCACCTTGGAAAACTTCCGATAGCAATAGTCTTTCTGACATAGAAGTTAATTTTGGATTATGATATTTCCACCAGTGGCCATGTACCGGAAAAGCAAAATAATACACTATCAAAATTTCCCAAGTTGGTAAGAATTATGCTGCCATAATATATTCCTTGTTTTCCCACATACATTAAGATAGTTTTTAAAAAGCATCTGGATAATTTTGCTGGATTTTAATGCAATGAATTACTAGAAAAGTTGGATGTAACATTAGGTATGTGCCTGAGCCCATGTAAGTGTTCAAAATCCAGTGCTCACTGATAAGCTGTAGGTGGCAGGACCGTGCACAACACAGCAAAGCAAAGCAATTTATCTGCTGCAACCGAACTCTTCCAAACCCTGATGTCCTCTGAATAGGTGATAAGTGTGGGGTCTTTTGCTGATCTCAAAAAGTATATAAATAAATAAATAAAACCTCTTTTCTCTAGTGTTATGTATATGTCTCTCCCCTCAGGCTCATGCTCATCAGTATGCCTAATGGCACTAGTCCTGATATGTAGAAAAGGACGATCGTTTGCACTAGAGGAAAAGTTCACAGGTTAGCAGACTGACCATGAGTCCAAAGACAGGAGAAAATTCTCAGGCTGCTAAGATTGGAAGTTATTGAACAGGAAAGAACAGACAAGTGCTGACAAGTGAAAAACAAGATCTACTCCTGCAAATGTTTTTAGAATAATAGGAAAATGAGACTTATTCTTTATCTGAAGCATTTCTCACATAGTAGATGGAGAACTTTCAGACCCATATCGCTTTCTCAAACTTTCTTTCCAGAAGGGTAGAGAATTACATCATAACGAATCATAGTTTGTGCTTTTGGCCATGCACCTACAATGAAACACTTCAGATGACCCTACAAATCCTCACTAGCACTCAGCTTGTCTTTCCCTCTTTTATAAAACATGGGACCATTGGGAACTGGGACCACTGGGCAGTTCACAGCCAATCAGTGTGGACATAAACCTTGACTTGACTTATAAAAGTTTGCTTCCTTTGAGGAACACTCTTAAAGGAATCTGGTTCATTCTTTCCTTTTTTTTTTTTTTTTTTTTTTTTATCGGTACCAGGGATCGAACTCAAGACTGCCTGCTTGCAAGGCAGGCGCTTATGCCACTGAGCTAAATCCCCAGCCTGTTCATTCTTTCCTAAAGCAGTTGTCAGAAGAAATAATAGTGTATAAGTAATGTGGTGTTTATTGCCATTGGCTCTGAAACCACGAAACTAGTCTCCTGCCATTCCCGGGTGCCCTTGATCATAGCTAGCACCTCTGTTGTGTTTGATAGTGGTGCACGCCATTTAAAGTCATATGGTTAGGTTCATTTGTTTCCAGATGACCAAATCAAAGGAGGCCATACATTTTGGTTTTGTAACACAGACTCTCCTCTATCTGGATCTGAGCCCTTTCCAGTTTATGACGAGTGACTTTTCCCATTTAACCACAGAACAGAGACCAAGAATTACCAACACATATTCAAGTGGATCACTGAGAGACTTCTTTGTTCTATTATGTAAGGGCATCTGTATCTTCTCCTGATGAATATGGTCATTCACATTTGACAAGATTATGACTCCTATCTGTGCCTCATAGTACCAAATCACAAGCATCAAGGTCTGAAGGTGAGGAATGGAGAGGGTAGTGAAGTCCTGTAGTGAAGTCCAGTACAGATGTTTTCTCATACTGTGTCTTCTCCCCTAGATTTGTTGATATACCTCGTTTGCCACTATTGCTTATCTTGATATTCCAATATTTTTCATTCTAGATCTCTGAATAACTCTCTAGCAGGTTCAATTCCCAGAGGTATGACTGATCTTTCACCAGTGCTGAAAAAAGAATTGCCCAAGTTGGAGCTAAAGCACAAATGAGACTCTCGTTGTTTCTCTAGGTGGAAGTAATCTGGCTTTAAAAATGAATGCATTTTGCCAACCCTGAGCAATATGGGACCCAGTCACTACATGTGGCCATTAAGTCCTTATATATGTCTACTCAAAACTACAAATAAGCAAAACTTACTGGACAGTATAGGTGGAGAAGCTCAGACTCTAAACATGTGGGGCAAGAGATACAAATTCCCATAAAAGACTCGGCGAGTAATAAGAAGTGGGACCACTCCATGTCTTAGTCTTCTACTTATTGCTGTTAGGTTAG